AGTGAAATAGAAAACAGTAAAACCAACCAACCAACCAATGAAATCAAAAGCAAGACTGATCAGGGAAGAAAATAAAAGAAACGATATAATGAATTCCAATATCATGAATAAGAGTGGTGATATTACTATAGGTTCTACAGATTAAAAGGATGATAAGAACAATTTATGCCAATAAATTCAACAATGTAGATGAAAGAGCTAAATCTTTTCAAAGACACAAGCTATCAAAGCTCACTCAAAAAGAAAGAAATATTTTGAGAAGTACTATAGCTATTAAAGAAATTGAATTAGTAGTTAAAAAGCCTCACAAAGAAAACTCCAGGCCCAGATAGCCTCACTGATGGATTCTACTAAACATTTAAGAAAGAAATAACAATTTTATACTAGCTCTTCAAGAAAATAGATAAGGAAGAGACACTTTCCAACTCATTTTTGAGACCAGCATTACTCTGACACCAAGACCAGAAAAAGACATTACAAGAAAAGAAAATTATGGACAAATATCTTCCATGAACACAGATACAGATTAAATTTTTTTCCATCTAATGAAACTCAAGAATTTATTAAAAAGGATAATACTCATAGACTGTAGTTTATCTCAAGAAGGCAAGGTTGGTTTAACATTTGAAAAACAATCACTGTAAATCATCATCATATTAACAGACTAAAAAAACACACCATATGATCATCTCTGAATGTGCAGAAAAGGCATTTGAGAAAATTCTATATCCATTCTTAATAAAAACTCTCAGCAAGCTAGGAATAGAAGGGAGCTCTCTCGATCTGAAAAAGTTCAGCTACAAAATCCAACATCTAATATCATACTTAATGGGGGAAGACGTAAGGCTTTCCTCTAAGATCAGGAATAAGAAAAGTTTTCTGTCCCTTACTACGTCTATTCATCATTGCAATGGAGGCTTTAGCCAATGCTATAAAGCCAGAAAAGGAATAAAATGCATCAATAGGAAAAGAAGTAAAACTGTTTATTCAAAGATCACATGGCTGCCTACATAGAAATCTTATGGAATTTACAATGAGTTATGAGAACAATTAGTGAGTTTAACAAGGCTGCAAGATACAAGATCAATATGCAAAAAATAAATTATTATTTTATATAATAGCTACATATGATAAAAATTTAAATTTAAAAAATACCATTTACAAAGCACCAAAAAAATAAAAAAAATATTTAGGGATAAATCTGACAAATATGCACTAGTCCCATACACTGAAAACTAAGAAACAGCAGAGAGAAATTAAAGACGTAAAGAAATGGAGAGCTTTATTGTGTTTGTTATATCAATTCTCCCCAAATCTATAGATTGATCCACAGATTCATAGCAATCCCAGTGAAAACCTTGCAGCCTTTTTTGTAGAAGCTGACAAACTGGTTTTTAAAATTTATATGGAAATGCAAAGAGCTAGGATAGCCAAGAACAACTTTGACAATGAACAGTGCCTGAGAACTTCTACTACCCGACTTCGAGATTTCTTCTAGAGCTATAGTATGTAATACAAGTGGTACTGGTGTCAACATTGACAAAGAGATCAATGAAATAGAATACAAATTCTGTCATGGAGCCCCGGCAACCTTGTATGTATCCACATAGGCCATGCAAGCGAAAGTCTTGACCCACTGCTGATCTAAGTCTTGGCAGGACACTCTGTGATCTTTAGGGATGGGAAGGTTGTAAGGTGCTGCTGTAAGGCCATTGTCCACTTGCCTCCCTATCATAAGAGTTTTTCATCATCTTTTGGGTTCTGATGAGGCTTGGGACTTCCTGCCTTGCCTCCTCAGAGTGGAGCTGCAGACTATAGAGCCATTCAGCTCAAGTCTATAGTTGGCTGCTTGGCAACTGGATATCCTACAACTCACACAGCTAATCATCTGGCCCCTTTCATTTAGGTGTTGGCCTTCCTGATGTGTGGGGGGAAGAGTTGGCACCTTTGGCTATTCCTCTCTTCACTGCTTCTATAGGTGATAAATGGTCTGAATTTAAGGGTGGCTCTTTGGGTCTTTACCAACTGAAACAGTCAGACCTTGTCCTGTCCTGTGTGTACAGGACAAGAGAGTCCAGAAAGAAACCCACACATATAGTCAGTTGATTTTAGACAAAAGTACAAAGGCAATTCAGTGGAGAAAGGAAAGGCTTTTTGACAAATGGTGCTGGAACAATCGGACATCCATGTGCGGAGAAAAAAGCTTCAATCCATACCTCACACCATATCCAGAAATTAACTAAAAATGGATCACAGACTTAAATGTAAAATATACAATTATTAAATTTATAGAGGAAAATGCAGGAGGAAATGTTTGTGACCCTAGGTTAGGCAAAGATTTTTCTTTTAACGTATAATAACCCAAGATAATCCCCAAAAGAAAAAATTGATAAGCTGGATTCCACCAACATTAAGAATCGCTGTTCTTCAAAACACACTTTTTAAAAATATTTTATTTATTTATTCATGAGAGACAGAGGGAGAGAGAGAGAGAGAGAGAAGCAGAGGGAGAAGCAGGCTCCCAAGGAGCAGGGAGCCTGATGCGGGACTCGATCCCAGGACCCTGGGATCATGACCTGAGCCGAAGGCAGACGCTTAACCATCTGAGCCACCCAGGCGCCCCAAAACACGCTTTTAAGAGAAGAAAATATAACCCATAGATCAGAAGATAATATTAACAAATTACATGTCTGATGAGGGACTTGCAGCCAGAATATATAAAGAAATCTCGAAATTTAAGAAGAAAACAGCCCAATTTAAAAACACGGGCACAAGGTTTAAACAGATACTTCATTAAAGCGAATATATGGATGTCAAATAGGTACATGAAAAGCGGCTCAACGTCACTTGTCATTAGGGAATTTGAAATCAAAGCTACAATAGTGTAGCTTTTCTACACACCTATTAAAATGTCCACAATTAAAGAGTGATCATACCAAGGACCACTGAGGATGTGAAGGAACCAGAACACCATTGGAGGGAATGTAACATGACCCAGCCACTTCGGAAATCAGTTTGGCAGTTTCTTAAAAGGTGACCTTTTAATCATATCATAGGAGTCAGACATTCCAATCCTAAGCCTACATCCAGAAGAAAGGAAAGCATACACCCCTACCAAGGCTAGTACACAAATGTTCATAGCAGCTGTATTTGTTATGGCCTCGGACTGGAAACAATCAAATGTCTTTCAACATGTGAATGGATAAACACATTGTGGTATTCCCAGATCACGGAAGACCACGGAGCAATGAAAAGGAGTGAATTGTGGATCCGTGAAACAACATGATGAATCTCGAAGTAATTATGTTGCATGAAAGAGACCAGACAAAATAGAAAAGTCTGGCAAACTCAGACTAAATTAGAGTGACAAAAAAGCAGATCAGCAGGAGAATGGAAGAGGTAACAGTGGGGCAGGGAACCTTCTGATGGGGATGGGTGTGTGCACTATCTGGATTGTGGGGATGGTTTCATGAATGCATATATATGTCCACATTTATCAGATCCCACACTTAAAACGTGCAGTTTACTGTATGCCAATCACACCTGAGTAAAGTTACTTACAAAAATACATTGTTAGAATATTGTTTCCTTCAGTCGCTCTGAAGACCTGGTGGTCCTCGAGCCTTTCTGAGTCCCTGTTCTCTAAAGCGATCCTGGTAGGTGGTGCCCCTCCTTGGGTCACCGAGAGCCCAATAGCCCTCCCTGTCTGCTCTTACAGTGGTGATTTTATTTAATCCTCACCCCAGTGATAGAAGAAATGATAACCCCAAGGGCAGGGACTAGAACATTTTGACTAAAGAAGTGTCAAGATGACAAAATGCAAGCCGAGAAACCCAAGCGTAAGTCCTGTGCTACGACGCAGTGGCCCCCCCCCCCCCCGCGGCGTCTCCCGGGCCCTCGTGGGCCCCTTGGGGACAGACACCCTCCAAGGTCAGCCGCGGGGCTGGACAGGCAGCTGCAGACCTTGCAGAACCCCGGCGCCTGGGCAGGCTGTGGGCTCGGTGGGCTGCGGTGCCCCCGCAAAAGCCGGGGACAGCTCGGCTTCCTGTGGGACTCCGAAGCCCCGCCCGAGGAGCTAACCATTTATGTCACACTGTGACAATTATTCTGCATAAAATTATCATTAAAAACCCTAATTTTTCAGCCTCCAACCCCGCCAGTGGCCTTTTAGCATTCTTCAGCGCCGGCGTCTGCAGGCCTGTGATCACCGCGCTCATTACCTCGGTGTGGCGCCTCCCGCCTCGCGCTCGCAATCAAGCGCTAATTATACCCGCCCGGGGGCCGGGGGCCGGGGGCCGGGGGCCGGGAGGTCTGGGTCCGGGGTCCGGGGTCCCGGGCCCTGGGCCGGGAGGAGGATCAGTACAGTCCCGGGGCGTGGCGGGGGCTGGGTCTGGGGTCTTAGGAGTTCGGGTCTGAGTCGCGAGGCAGGGGCAGGGGTAGGGGCTCAGGTCGGTCCGGGGTCCCGGGTCAAGGATCAGGGGTTCAGGGTCTGGGTGGGGTGGTGGGGGCCGGGGTAGGGACCAAGGGCGGGTCGCGGTCCGCGGTCAGGGCGGGTGACCAGATGGAGCGGGCCATGTGGCCGCTGCGGGGTCCCGCGTCTGGGTGGGGTCAGGACTCAGGAGGTGTCTGAGGTCCGCGGCCAGGGCCCGGGACCAGCTGGGTTCTGCAACGGTGTTGGGGGGGGGGGCGGCCACAGGGTCTGGGGGCGGAGTCTGGAGGTGGGGTGGGGCTGGCTGGGTTCCGGAATGGCGACAGCGGCCCGGGTCCGGATTCGGGGTAGGGTGAGGACGCGGGGTGTGCCCGTGTCCTGGGGCATGGGCCGAGGCTGGATGCAGGGTCCAGGGATGGGGCGGGGAGCCGTTGGGTCCTGAGGCGGGACCTGCGGGGCCTGGGGGCGGACCCAGGAGGCGGAGCCAGGGGCGGAGGGGCGTGGCCGGCTTCTGGAGCAACGGCCCAGGTCCGGTCCGGGTCTGGTGCCGGGCCGGGCCGCGTGTCCTTACCCGAGCGAGGCGGCCGTGCGGCAGAGGTGCAGGGGCGTCAGGCCCTCGGCGCTGAGCAGGTCGGGGTCGGCGCCGTGCTGCAGGAGCAGCTGGGCGCAGGCGGTGTGGCCCCCCAGGCAGGCCTCGTGCAGGGCTCCCTGGCCGCTGGGGCTGGCGTCGGGGTCCGCGCCGCGGCTGAGCAGGTGGCGCACGCAGGCCGTGTGGCCACGGGCCGCAGCGATGCACAGGGGCGTGGTGAGCTCGCGCTTGTACTCTAGGGTCCAGAGGCCTGGGGGAGAGGAGAGGTAAAGTGAGTGGGGGTACCGGTTGGGCGCGGTGTCCATTAAGGCCGAAATAGGGTGAAACCATCTCTTAGAAGTAGCTACCAGGTGGGCATGTAGATACATAAAGATACACATAGACCATATAGAGGTATATAAAGATGCGGAGGGTTGGGACCAAGAAACCCAGTGAAACCCAGTGAGTTCCACAAATGTGGGAGGGGGGTGGATATCTTCTACCCTAGGGAGATGGAGGTGGGAAGACAGAGGCAGAGTGAGGCAGAGAGAGATCTTGAGGGAAAACGGGGTATGAAGTTGGAAGAAGGAGAGTCAGGAGGCCCAGGGGAGGCCTGGGGAGGGAGGTGGAGACGCAAGGGGGAGAAAAGGAATAAAAAAGAGATTGATAGGGGCCACGACTGAGCCAGAGGGAATGGAGGGTATTGAGAAGCAAGAGGGTCTTGCCCAATATGGGGGTAACTGGGGACTTGGCTAGGATTTGAGGAGTGAAGGGCTGACCCAGTGGGTGGATGGTGGGAGAATGTAAGGCAAGAATTCACATTTTCCAGGCTCTGAATTAGGGACAGCTTGAGGCAGGGAAGTGAGCTGTGGATTTTTCGGAATCCAGCTTTCTCTCATTGAACCCCAAACTTATCCCTTTATCATTAACAGGAGAAGACAGCAGACAGAATAAACTGACCCGCTGAGCCAAGGTTGCTCAAGGAAAGGCCTTAGAAAGTTTAGTCCTCTTGGAAGCGCTGGGTTTCAGAGGCTCTCTTTGATGTGGTGTCCACATTCAGCACAATTCTGGTTTGTTTCTTTGCGCTTTTTAGGGTTGTGTGTGTGTGTGTGTGTGTGTGTGTGTGTGTGTGTTAGGTTGCTCTTTCTTGGTGGATGAATGAAGCAGGTGCTATACATTGTACTTGTCTGAAAACTTGGGGCTTTCAAAAGGCCCGTGGAAGGTTGTTAGCGGCCAGGAGCGCTCGTGGAAATGGGGAAGCAGTCCCCGGTGAATACACTTCAAGGGACAGGATTTCACATGGCAGGAATGCCTTCTGATAATGATGGAAGAATCGATACCATGGCTGTAATGAGCTGCAGAGGAGACCCTTTTCACAGGCCACCTCCTTCCTGGGACCCATGCTGAGCAGGTTTTGAAAGACCACTCATAATTACCTACCTGCATGTGGTGCGGAGTTCCAGCCTGCCCTGTGTCCCCAAGGCCCAGCTCTGTGGGCTGTTGCACACTCGGTGGGGGATGTGGGGCCTATTGTCCTGGTAGTGGATGATGTTGGCCAGAGGCCCTGGGGATGTGGGCCTGCATGGGTTTGATCTCCCCTTCTCAGGGAAGCCCAGGGCTGATTTGGAGGGGGATGGATGCATATAGTTCTTGGTGATAGCAGTGGTCTACATTCCTAGAGGGGCCAGCTCCTGGTTTTGACTGTACTCATTTTCCTGAGCTAGGAAGTCTACTTACTGGGTGGGTAGGGGGCTATAGGAAGGAGGTGCTCCATTCTCCAGGGCACACCAAGTTCCCAGCCCAACTCTGCCCATGCCAGCAGCCCTGTTCACCCAGCCTGGATTCCTGAGACTTCCCGTGGCCTGATGGAAGGGGTCTCTGGTGGACCTTTAGCTCAGCCACTGTGTATGGCCAGCACCCCTGTCCAGGTCCTGGGAGACGGTGATAAGCTTCCACAAGGCCTTCAGGAAAACCTGACTTCTGAGGCAGCTGTCTGGATCAGAAAGCTTGAACCTGCTGCCTATAATCCCCACTCCCCGGTCTAGGTTCTGCCACCAGGAGGAACAGGGACATAGGATTCTCTCCATGTGGCACATCCCTCTAAACATCAGCTGCTCATGCCAACTCTCTCCTTGGACTGTGAGCTGGATGAGGCCAGCATCGCATCCTGGATGTACTGAGGTACTGGGGGGCTGCTAGTGTTACCCCCTTGCCCACAGCCCCCTTCAGGGGGAGCTGTAACTGGCCACCAGCAAGTCCTCATATGAGAGAGGGCACTGTTCCCAAGCTGAGTTTGGTCATTTCTGTGGCTTGGGTGAGCTGCAGGGAAAGCAGAGTGGCTGAGCAGAAAAGAGCAGGGAATGCAGCAGTCCCCAGTGCCACCCACCTTCTCTTCCCAGTCTGCATGGAGGCCACAGGTCAGCACCGGCTCTCAGGGCTGCCCCTTCCACGGCAACAGCTTATCGCCTTGGTGGGCAGCATGTCCTAACTTTCTGTGGTTCGGGTATGCTCTAGAAAACCAGCAGAACTCAGGAGTGGAAAGAGTAAGGTGGAGAAAAGGAAGGAGCCTTTGGATTCAGACCATGGGTTAACATTAATACCTATTTGAAATGGCAACATTTGAGTGTGGTGAGTGTGTCCAGGGCTGGGAGGCATGTGATTAAAAAAAACTGACACTGATCGAGCATTTGAGCTGTTGGCATTCTTGGTCGAATTACCACCCAGCTCCTTGGAGGAATGTGTGCCCCTGTCTGGGACAGATGAAGGAGGGGAGGCCCAGAAAAGCTCCGGGACCCCCTGAATTGGGGGGTGGTGTGGCCCCAGACCACAACTGCACTTGCCTCCCCTGAAGCCCCCGCCGCCTCACTGGTTGCTCTGAGCTGCTTAGCCCTTTGACAGTTTTGGGTTTATTTCCTTCTCCCCGTGGGGGGTATAAACGGGATGATGTCCGTTCTTTGGAAGCTGACCTTCTGATTCTTTGCCTGCCTGAACCCACAAGGTAGGTACATGGGACACGGGACATTGGCCGTTGGCCCACTGACCCCAGGGTCTCAAATCCTTTTGGTCTGGCAGAGCTGCAGTGGATTCCAACACATGAGCCCTCTTGGTAAATGTCTTGCATCTGGACACCCCAGGGAAAGAGTGCCCAATGCAGAGTGTCAGCTGAGAAAGCCCTGGCTGCAGCCTGGTGGTCAGCAAGTCTCTTTATCCCAGGTTGGGGGGTTAGGGGAGTATCTCTCTCCTTGGCGGCTCTCTTGCCAGCCCAACACGTAGTGGTGTTCAGGCTGCAAGAATGCACTCAGACATATGACCTAGGGGACCTCTGATTTCTTCCCCCTCCCTCCCCCACTCTCAGGCTCCCCTGGGTTCCTGGAGGAGCACCAGCTGAGTGCTCTCCCTCTGTTGATGCTGGCTGTGCCCGAGCCACCCTGCTGTAGCTGTGGTGTTCACAGGTTCATGGAAGGACCTCGAGCAGAGCTGCGTGCCAGGAGACCTGCCTCCTTGGCTGCCAGACACAGACACTAGCAGATCAGCACCCAAACCAGTGTTCTCTTTTAAAGACAAGAAGAACCTTCCAGCCTCAGGTGGCCACTTCTCACCCACATTTTGGCCTAATTTGATTTCTCGCATCTCATCATCTAAAACATTGTGCGGACCAAATTTCATTTATAGACGTCCCTCGCTCGTGTATGTTAAGTGCGGCGCTTATGTGAGCAGTCTGCACACCAGAGTTACACATCCAGAGGAGTGTTAGTGGCTCCTTAAACATAAATAGCTGAGCTTTAAAGGAAAAAGGGTACCTGACAGTCCAAATGTGGCTAGGGATTTCACCTGCCACTCCATCTCATCCTTCTTGATCTCAAACACCGCGTTGGCATCCTGGAAGAACCGGTTCATGAGCTGCTCCAGACGGCTCAGATCTCCCGTGACCAAGGCAGCATGGTACTCGAGCACTGGGGACCCAGCTCTAGCTTGAGGCTCTTTTTGCATCTTCTGAAAGATTTGAAGTTCTCCTCTAACTGGCTCTGGCCATCTCTCCATTGTAATGCTGTTGGTTTCAGAAAAGTTCTCCAGGAAGGGGAAAGATGGTCTTACGGAGTGTGAGCTATTTCTATTGTCATTACTCAATTGTCATCCAGTTGGGGCTTGGTGGTGGTGTATTTATAACTCCTGCGGGCCCCGGTGTGATCATGGTTACTTGATATGACCAGCATCGTGTGACCACTGACATGCCAGAGTGCTCAGCCACCCTGTTGTGATTATATCGATTCGACTTCCAGAGACAGACACATCTGTTTATCTCCACAACAGCTCTCCACACAAGGGCAGACACCCAAAGATGGGTGGGGCTTCTTTTCCTGCTCTGTAGGGTGTCTTCTTGTTGGCCTATCACTTTCTTTGCTGCTGTGAACAAGAGTGGGCGGACGTATGTTCTGAGGGCTGTGTCAGCCCTGAGCATGTATAAGGGAGCCCCAGCTGGATGTTGCAAATGACCAGGCTCTCTGCAAGTGTCCCTGGGTGGGAGGCTCCACAGGGCAGACCAGCGATTCCCAAAGGCATCATCTGGGGCCCCTGGTGGCCTGTGAGTTCCTTCCAGTTGTTGAGAACTCATCCCCAAAAGTGCATCCCTTGCTGAAGATGGGAAATGCCACAATTTCTGTTTCCTAAATGAATGGTAACAGCTTTTTATTGGCAACTTACTAGTTATTTGTTACAGTTTAGTTCAGGGCTTTATTTTATTGTCTAAAAGTTAATAAAGTCATCTTTTTCTCATAATATAGGTAATACACAATTCTTACATCTTTTTTCCCAATTCTTGTTTTTCTCCTACTAGGAAGTTGGGACGGGCCACTGTGGTTGGGCAATCACATCCTTTGCCATGTCCGGTGTCAGTGATGATAAAATGTGTGACCAGAGGCTAGAGGGAGGATGGAGGCTCAGGGAGGGTGCTGCCTGGATGGGCCAAAGGGGACATGCTGGAGCACGTGCCTGGGGCAGTTACGCACAGAGCTGCTGAGAGAGGGTAAGAACAGGAGCCACCACCCACAGGGTACCAGCGTTGGACACGCACCTGTGGGATCCTGTCGCTATACGGTGTTGCAGTCAAAGGAACGACAGAGACGACAGGAAGAAAGACTTGAAGTCAAGGAATAGGGGTCACGGAGGAAGCACATCTTTCACAGCCACACTTCTTAAGCACCCTCTTCCCCCATGTTCCTGTTTCTTGATCTCCTCTGTACCTCAAAGCACCCCTTGACTCGCTCTGTTCTTCTAAGCACGCTCCCCCCATACCCCAGCCTGAGCATGCTCTCCGTGTTGGCTCTTTGTTTTGAACCGTAATTTGGCCCCTGGAGGGCCCCTTTCACCAAGACTTTCCACAACAATAGGGGGCCCAGCAGAGTACCCTCAATCTTCCTTAGAAGAGGTAAAGGGTGAAGGTGAAATCACCTGCATTTATCATTTAATAACGATATGTTCCCACCCTGGTTGTATATGCCTACCCTACAGGCGTAAATGTACATGCATGGACTGATCCAAAGCCTGGCGTTTCCCTCGCATGGTAGAACTCACATCTCCTCTGCAGAAGAGGGCTGCAGGGTTCCTGGGAAGAGGGAGATGTGCTCATCTGTCTGGTCACTGTGATGCCTTCATGCAGGCAGATAAGCAGTGTTGACCGTGTCCCCAAAGTTGAAGGGCTCTCATTGGTGACAGACAGCTTGGGGGTGGGAGGGAATTGGTCACTGCCTGAGCTGGCTGCCATGGGGACTGGGTCTATTATCCTCACTGTGGTTGTCTGACGCCTGGACCGAGGCTCAGTACAGAGGATGCAGAAGGGCCCATGGAGTTCGGCTCTTAGGGCATGGGGTGAGCTGCAGGAGGAGGCTCCTTCTACCCAAACATCCCCAGCAAGTGGCTCTCTGTCCAGGGGCCCCATAGGTGGACAACCTTGGTGCCATATGCAGAAGAGGAAACCGGGACTCCGAGATTCAGGTTACTTGCTCAAGGTTTCTGGATCCTGAGATGGTCAGCACCCAAACACCTCCTGTGAGCACAAAGACTTCCTACCTCACCCTCACTGCTGTTGTTGACCGTGACACATTTTAGCACAGGGATCAGTAGTCCCCTGATGGTGTGTGGTGTCTCGGGCCTCCAGGTGTATGCACAGCTGTCCCCTGTGCCTGGCATTCTGGTGTTTCCCTTGTCACCTGTCTGGTGCCACCCATTCTTCAACGCTCAGCTTAGATTCCCTTCACCTCTATGGCTAGTCCTGATGTCTGTCCTGGCACTCTGTCCATGGTACCCGGCTCACTGTTGGTTACTGCTCTCGTCTGTGCCCCTACTTGACCATGAGCTTCTGCTTCTTAGTACCTAGCACAGTGTTGTCACTGTGGTCCTCATCTGGTCCTCAGTGCAGATGGTGAAAGAATGAATGGACTGATCTCTTTGAAATTTGCTCAAGTGCATTGAAATTCCTCTTGTTCCTGGCCACCTGCTACCTTTATCCCTTAGGGAATTTAGATGGTAACCTGGCCCCTTGGCTGGCCAAGGACAGGGCCTCAGATGCTGGGGCTGAGGTTCTACCTCAGATCTGTGACCTTCACTGTACACCCTACCTTTCCCCACATGTCAAGATGCCTTACCAAATTTCACAGGACTGTCTATTGAATGCTTCATGGGGGCTCTTCGTTTTTTTATTCCAGTATAGTTAACACATGGCATTATATTAGTTTCCAGTGTACAATACAACGATTCAATAATTCTATACATTTCTCAGTGCTCATCTCGGTAAGTGCTCATCACGGTAAGTGCGCTGTTAATCCCCTTCACCTATTTCAGCCATCCCCCATCCACCTTCCCTCTGGCGACTACCAGTTTGTTTTCTGTCTTTAAGAGTCTCTTTTGGGGGTCTCTTTTTTCTTTGTTCGTTTTGTTTCTTAAATTCCACATATGAGTGAAATCATGTGGTATTTATCTTCCTCTAACTGACTTATTTCACTTAGCATTATACTGTCTGGGTCCACCTGTTGTACCCATCAATGGGTACCTGGGTTGCTTCCATATCTTTTGTACATAATGCTGCAATGAACATAGGGGTGTATATGTCTTCTTGAATTAATGTTTTTGTTTTCTTTGGGTAAATACCCAAGTGGAATTACTGGATCAAATGGTAAATCTATTTTTAATTTTTTGAGGAAACTCCATACTATTTTCCACAGTGGTTGCACCCATTTGCATTCCCACCAACAGTGCATGAGGGATGCTTTTTCTTTACATCCTTGCCAACACTTGTTATTTTTTGTGTTTTTGATTTTAGCCATTCTGACAAGTGTAAAGTGATATTACTTTGTGGTTTTAATTTGCATTTCCTAATGATTAGTGATGTTGAGCATCTTTTCGTGTGTTTGTTGGCCATCTGTATGTTTTTGAAAAAATGTCTATTCAGGTCCTCTGCTCATTTTTAATTGAGTTATTATTATTATTTTTTGGTGTTGAGTTGTGTAAGTTCTTTATATATTTTGGATTTTAACCCCTTATAGGATATATCATTTGCAAATATCTTCTCCCATTCAGTAGGTTGCCCTTTTGTTTATTGATGGTTTCCTTTGCTGTGCAGAAGCTTTTTATTTTGGTGTAATCCCAATAGTTTAATTTTGCTTTTATTTCCCTTGCCAAAGAAGACATATCTAGAAGAATGTTTCTATGATTGATATCAAAGAAATTACTGCCCATGTTTTCTTCTTGGGATTTTATGGTTTCAGGTCTCACATTTAGGTCTTTAATCCGTTTTGTCTTTATTTTTGTGTATGGTGTAAGAAAGTGGCCCAATTTCATTCTTTTGCATGTTGCTGCCTGGGTTGGTGGAGACTGTCTCTTTCCCATTGGATATTCTTGCCTTCTTTGTCATAGATTAATTAACCATATAAGCATGGGTTTACTTCTGGACTCTCTATTCCGTTCCATTGATCTATGTGTCTATTTTTGTGCCACTACCATACTGTTTTGATTACTACAGTTTTCTAATGTATCTTGAAATCTGGGATTGTGATACCTCCACTTCAGCTTTGTTTTTCTTTTTCAAGACGTCTTTGGCTATTTTTTTTTCAGTTCTCTTTATATTTTGGGATTATTTGTTCTAGTTCTGTAAAAAATGTTGTTGGTATTGGGATTGCATTAAATCTGTAGATTGCTTTGGGTGGTATGGACATTTTAACAATATTGGTTCTCCCAACCCATGATAATGGATCCATGAGGGCTCTTTAAAACCTCATTTCACATGTTTTAAATTTTACCTCCCTTGTCTCCATCAGCAGCGGCAAAGACAGAATCAGTGTCATCAATGGAACAGCTGAGATTTTTTTCAAGGCCCCCCTGTGTGCCTAAAACACTGCTGGGTGCTATGGACAATGCAGTGGTAAAGAATATAACCACATTTGCAAGGAACGCACATCCTCCATCAGACATTAAGAGGCTTGTGCATACAGAAAATGATGAAAGGCAACACTACATAGACCATATCCCATATCAGTTGTACACTAAAATAAAGCCAACCACTCTCCCCACTTCATTCACATATTATGCAGTTACTCTATTAGTTCTTTGGATTTTTCATTTCTATAACCTTAGCCATTTTGCCATGTTATTTTTCTCAGATTGACTGTGATTAGATTCATTTCTGAAGGACTTATTCATACACAACTATAAAATGATCCAACTTGGACTTCACTTTAAACCAGAGAATTCCTTTGTTCCTGATATATTTTGTCATGGGTTATTTTTAAAAGGGGTGGGAAAATTGGAGGTGAGTCCAGGGATAAGAGCCATTCTGGCCTGTGTTCTGTGGTAAATTTAGCTTTCCATGCATTATATTTGTCAACAGTGCCCTAAATACCCAAGCTTGATTTCGGTGGGTAGGGAGTAGTAGTCCGGAAACAGACACGGTTCTTTGTGAGAGCTTTAAAAATAGCTTGTGGTAGACAGCGTTGATTTTACAAGTAGGACATGTAGATTACTTCAGGAGCATGATAGAGGCGTCTTGTTTTTGTTTTTTTAAAGAGCAATAATAGCCATATGTGTGATTATTACATTAAAAAACAAAATAAAACCCAAAAGACCCTACAAACACATAAACCAATCCATTCGTTCATCTATTCATTCCATAAGCATTCATGGAATATTATGCTCTAGGGTGTGTGGTTAGGTGTTGGGGATACAGAGACAAAACATACAATAATTCTGCCCCCAAGGGTCACACAGGAAAGAGCAGTGACCACAAGACCCTAACACACAGGGTCCTCCTTCCCACCAGCCGAATGATGTCCTTAAGTGACAGGTGAACGGCACTGTTTCCTGATCCAGCACTGGGCTCCTTCTTGCCCATTGTACAACAGTTCTCTCCATCCATACCTTGCTTGGGTCAGGCCATTTTAATTTCATTTTCATTGTCCTTACCCTTCTCAGCTTAGTCAGAGCCAATGCATAAGCTTCAAGATATGACTCGAATCTTATCTTCTCTGCCTATTTCAGTCCATATGAAAACTCAACTTCTTCCAGGAGTGAATTTGTATATGGTGTTGCTGAGCAATTACCAAAATCCTTGAGGAATTGTGATAAAACAGAAGGACCAGAAAGACTAGAGTTTTAGTTTTCAGATAAGTAAAGAATTTGCTTCCTCAAAGTCTGAATTGACATCAATGCTGGGCAAGATCCCTAAAAAGGATGAAAAAGATGGTCTGGGAACATTTAGAAAAGGGAGTGGGGGTACATGGAGCTCTCTGGGTCACTAGGAACAAGTCACGGTGGATAAAAGAGTTTTCCTTTGCGACATGGAATTATTCATTAATAGGTAGAGGGGGTGTAGGCATGGGGTATAGTTCTACCTGCAGTGGAAAGTTTCCTGGAAACCTTTTAGAGAAGGTGGAAAAAAATATGGGTCTTTTTTTAGGAAAGTCTTGCTAAAAACTCCAACTCGAGAAATAATACACATGGTACGTGCAGAGCGATGGTTCAAATCTTGGCTGTAAAGTGGAACCACCTGGGGAGCATTAAAAAGATAAGGATGTCTGGATCCCAACCCGAGAGGACCTGGTGTCACGGGTTGGGGAGTGCAGCCTGGCCACCAGGTCTGTTAGACACCCGCCCCCCCTGCCCCACTGGTGCTTCTAATGTGCAGACAAGGTTTTCATTCTGATCCCGTAGGATATATGCTTATGGATGATTTAACTGAACATATAGAATATAGATGCCCCAAGGTGACATTAAAACCCCAGTCACATAGGATCCCATTGTCCTCTGGGTCAAGTGGCTGAGACCCTTGCACAATGCTGCGGGCTCCCGTTTATGGTACTAGACTTTTCTTTTTGATTTTAGGGTCAGAGGTTAGTGGTGCTATTGTTGATATTTATACCCAAATTTAGGTGACATAAATGCAGCAGATTATTTGACGGTATTTTAAGCCATTCAGAGAGCATATCGGTACAGAGTAACTTGTGTCAGTCAGGTGTCAGTTTGAGTTCCCTTCCTCCCTGGGACTCTGACCGCACCTGGACTTTGCCTCCTCGTGTTTTTCTTGACCCCCCTGTCTGCTCAGGCTGTGTATGCGCTGCCCTGCCCCCACGCTGGGGCACAAAATTAGCTCCTTAGTTTTTTGGTTTGGTTTGTTTGCTTTTAAGCCCAATACCAACATTATGTAGGAGTTTGGCGACTCTCCTGAAGATATGAAGGGCCTGGCACCATGTGCACAGTCTTACCCCTCCTCTCTCCTCCATGGGCACTTCCTCTGTCTCCGGCACAACCACCAAAGTCCGCTCCCCTCCCCCCTTCCCCTTCACCGTGGTTCCACGCATTCTCAGAACCTGCCAGTTTCAGCTTCTCCTCCAGGGACCTGGTCCAAGGAAATTCTTCTGAGCAAATACAGCACACTTCTTGACAGAGGGGGATTCTGATGAAAATAATCTTCTCCAAATTGGTATGCTTACTGGTTTTAGTTCCTCAGAAGAACTATCAAATTGTACCTATTTGATGGAGGAACTTCCCTTGTATCTGTGGACCACTTCAGAGTACTAAACAAACTTGATTGTGGTGGCCTTTTATTGCATATGGTGGAGTAATCTTGGGAAAAGAAGGACAAAAATCCAAATAGGGGTGGACACCCAGCTTCTATCTGGACAACTCAGTGAATGGACTAAATATCTCCAATAACTACCCAGGTAGTCAACTGGATTTAAATATAATTTTGCAAAGAATATTTTTGGGACTTAAATGATAAACATAATGTTTTATCCATAGGAGACACAAAAACTGAAGGGTAGGTAGCTAATGAGAGGGAGTTCTGGCCTCGGGATCAAATGAGACGAAAAAGTGAAATCCACCTTAAAATTATAATGAGATATACAAATGGTAAGTGTTTGAATGAATTATAGTTATTATTCTCAAGTGATGTCAGGATCTTTGTATCCTACCATTGAACTGACGAATGATTTTCTTTTGCTCAGAAGTGTCTGAGGATGAGCTCTGCTGGTAGTTGGTGGAAGAATCTAGTTGAGCTAGAAATGTGGGTTTTATTACAGGCTCAGGCTGTTGTTTCTCCAGGACAGAGACTTTACATGTGCTCAGGCCACGAGGTAGAGTTTCCAGGCTGCAAGATGCTCTGCCATTTCTTTGTGTTCTTGGAGAGAGCCAAACATATGGATTCTTTCCTGGGTCATTGGGCAAATGTCTGCTTCCTTCTGGGATCAAGTATCCAAGTAAATGGACAAGCTAGGACAGCAAGTCATTCCCCAGGTGGACATTGTGAGATTCTGAGCACTTTCTCAAATATGTGAGTGTGTATTGTTAGCCTGGTCAATTCATACTTCCTACATGAATCGTTTCTATAAATGGCCATGTATGAAATCTGATCAGACCCTAGGATACTCACATCACTACTGCTTGGCCAATAGCTAAGGTCTTACAGTGAACTACTTTCATTGTAAATCATTTTTTCTTGTTTTGGTCCTCACTCTCCCATTTAATTTCTAAAACCCACTCCTCCTTCATCCCCACTCCCTGTAGCTTTTTCAAATAAAAAAAAAGTTTTTAGAATAATAAGCTAGGCGGGTGTTTAAGGCTCTGCTTTTAAGAGCTCCAGGACACATTCACCCATCTACCAGAGTTAGTCACACAGACATTAATATAAAAAATGTTAAAATATCTCAACCTTTTCTCTGAATAACAATGTTAGCACAGCACACCTCATTTAACAAAACATTAAAACATTTTACTTCCTCAGATCAAGTGTATCTATTAATAATGACTTAAATTGTCTGTACTGATTTCACATTATTAAGAAATCTCATTCCCATCATATGGAAGAACACAATATGGCGGGGGGGTGGTGGTGGTGCAGCGGGAACACCTCGCTAACCTATTTTCCTGACATTGCTACCCAGCCCAACGAGGATCACACCAAACAACAGAGTCTCCTTACGAATGTGGTCTTATCCAAAGGTCAAGTGCTGCTTTCATCCATTGCCCAGGAGGGTTTTTTTGGAAGCTCAGAAACAAAGGTGCCCTTGGATGCCGCATAGCCACTGTGGTGGAGTGTGGGACAGAACAGCCAGATCCTCAGCATGCACAGCCACGAGTAAATAGCCCTGGAAGCACATTTATAGACTCTGGGGACGTTGCTGGAAAGCATATTATCGAAGCTTTCCCTGATAAAGGTGACAAAGTTTCTTTACGACTGTCATGGGGATTTAATTACATGATAAAATTGCAGCTCCTGCCCTCTTGAGACAAATTGCATGTTAAGACTGATTGTTTTTTTATGAATCTCACACAGGGAGCAAAATACTTCTCTCTTGAAGTTGCTTTGATCTGATCGTTATACCCCGTCAGCCTTCATATCCCTTCTAGAAATGAGAGCTTGGCTGATCCTGCAGTTGAGGAGGGAGGGCTCCTGGTGGGCTTACTTGGTTCCTTTGCAACTCTGCATGGAGCAGAGTGGGGCCAGTTTTTACCTGATGGATTTAAAGTCGACTTCACTTATTTTTCTGTTGGTAAAAGATGAGAACTTTGGGCTTCCAACAGAAAGATAGGAAAAAGACATTCTAAGACATGTAAATGATTATTAAAGACATACACAATATACAATTTTACTAATTTCAAATGCAAGTTAAAAATAACACGATTTTTTAAAAGTCAAATTTTGGAAAACTTTGGTGAAACTGATGCTTCTTAGTTTGCAGGTGGAAGGGTAAATTTCTGTGCAATTTGGAAATATTCTATGTTGAGCTTATACGTACAGGGGATTTTTTTCAGGTGCCAGCAGCCTAGCAGCCTACAGAAGCAAAGAGTAGAAGTCTTTGCCTGTAAGAAGTGTTGCACTCCGTGGGTGAGATAGATGACGCAACCAGTAACTAGTGAGCGGGATGAGGTCACTGCCATCAAGAGGCACAGGTCCGACGGGGAGAATGCATCACAGAGCATTACAGTGATAGGAAGTAGGGATGGGACAGGCTTTCTCCACAGGTGGCATCCGAGCAAAGCACAGAAGGGGTCGAGGGATAAGGCTGGCTCATGTCCCCTGGAGGGTGTCTGTTCCCTTTCCTTGGCCTATGGTGGGGGTGAGGAACTGTATCCTATTATTTTTGGCTGAGTAAGAGGCAAGGTGTAGCCTTAGTGCTGCATCACATGGGGCCATGGGTGCTGTCTGGAAGGGGGGTCAGGCAGAGGGGTGGATGTGGGTAGGAAAGAAGCAGTGGCCAGTGGGCCCAGGGGGTCAGAGCCAAGGTAAGTGGCAGGGACTAGACCTTTAGTGGACATGAAGATGGGCCGCCCAGACCCCAATGTTAGGGAAGACTTGTCGCCCCAGATGGTAACTCCTTCGGGGTTTGCCTCAGCTGCAGAGAGCCTCCTCACTCTAGAATACACTGTGAGAGGGGTCTCAGCTCCCGAGCTCCCCCAGGGCTGGCCACGCATGGCACTGTGGGGTCCGTGTCACAGATCAACTTCTCCTCTGCCAGTCTGATTTTCTCCCTCTCTTCATAGGTGTTCACGCCCTGCAAATATCCTGTGAGGCAAACTCCACGCAGCGTCAGACTGTGAGCCCCTGAGGCTCTTGGGCCCTCTGGAAGGATGGGGGGGATGTGTTGTTAGAGTAGATGAAGACAGGAGAGCAGAGACATGGCCTGCCCAAGAGCCAAGAAGGGTGTAAGGGATTGATGGTATCATTCGGGTATGGTTTTGACCACAGTTTCTAACCACTGGTAAAGGACCTGGGAATTTTTTTTTTTTTTTTTTTTGGTCTCAATTTGCCATGGGCTGATTCTTTTTTTAAAATACAATTAAACTTAATTACAAGAAAAAACATAATAGAAAAAAGCCCAGTAATCACACACTGTCGTATTGTCAAGTTGCTGTCAATATTTTTTAAAAACTTACTGTCAATTTCCATGGCAAACACTTGCCAGAGCATCATCTGCCTCCTGCTGTGCTCTGACTAGTGCTGTTATCCATCACTCACTGGGGTACAGGGTGGGTGAAAGGGCGCTGGCAGAAGTTGTGGGGTAAGTTAGCTCCTGGCACATCTTTCAGGCCCTTGAACACTTGCTATAAAATTTCAACAGGAAGTTGTTGGACAGGGGTCACCAGGCTTTTTCTGTAAAGTGCCAGATAGCAAATATTGTTGATTTTGTAGGTCATATGGTCCTTGTGGCAACCAATCAGCTCTGCCATGATAGCATGAAAATAGTCATTGACAATATGTAAGTGAATGAGCATGGCCAATCAAACTTTACTTGTAAAAACAGGCAGCCAGCCCTCAGTCCCTAGTTTGCTGACCTTTGCTGTAGACAGTAGGGAGCTACTGCAGGTTTGTGGGAAGGGGAGAGACATGTGCTTCCAAGTAGGAAACTGTCGTTGTACCCTTTTCTCTGTGTGCCTTTCTCACCCCTCACTCCAGTGGAACCTGCTCTCTATTCTCAAGGCAAACTTGACTCAACAACAGTCAGCAGAGCATACAGGTACCCTGGCAGACATTTGGCTTATTTCCCTCACCTATATCCGGTTCCAGTTTGCGGAACTTCTTGAATCTGTAAATTTATGTCTTTCATCAAATTTGGGAAATGTTTGGTATCTATTTCTTTAAATATTTTTTCTGCTCCATTATCTTCCTTCTCTCTTTCTTGGACTCTGGTTGGGTGTTAGATCTTCTCAATTGTCCCTCAGTCTCTGTTCATCTTATTTTCTATCATTTTACTTGCTGTTCTTCAGGTTGGATAGTGATCTATTTTCAAATTCACAGACCTTCCTCTGTTAAGCCCGTTGTTGACTAGAACAAAGCTGAACAAGGCCAACTCTAGCTTCAAGGGTGGTGGGCACATTATATTGCCTCAGGGACTCAATTAGTAAAGAAGGAGGCACCTTCTCGGCACCAGTCTCTCCACTGCCATCCTTCCTATGTAAAAAGAGTTTTTGTTTTTTCCAACTCCGGTGATCTCATTCCACTGCTGAATGGATCCTCACTGCCTTTCCAGATAAGTGTAAACACCTGTCTAGAATTTGTAGTCTCACAAAGTACTGTCCCAACTTACTTACCTTGACTTTCCTCCCTCTGCTCTGATTTACACACCCCCATTTCCAGGCAGGTCCCTCTTCCTTGCACAGGGTGGTATGCCCCTGTGTGCTCCACGTTTGCTCCCTCTGCTCCCTCTATTTGGATTCCCTTCCTTTCGATCGTAGCCTGTTAAGAACAAGTCCATCTATCAAGAGCCAACCCAAGAGAATTTTAGTGTCCCCCATATGCTTTTTTTGGTCTAATTAATATTTATTATGTGCCTGGTGTGTGCCAGGATATGGTGAATAGGACAAACCCAGGCCCTGTTCATATCCAGTTGCTGACTTTGGTATTGGAAATTAATGGGCAATGGGACGGAGAAGTAGAGCCAGGCTACAGGTAGTGAATTTGCCACTTCCAATTAGTGCCTTAGGAATGTTTTTCCTGAGTAGAGCACACTGTTGCAGGAACCATAATCCTCCTGGGAAGGAGAAAAGCCTCTTTGCTATCATCCTCATTTCTTTTTGTTCTTTCAAAACTCTCTAGTGTGCTTGGGAGTGATGCTAATAGAAGTATGTCATCAGCATACATTATTTCTTTATTAGGCTGTTTCTCAATTTTGATTCTGAAAATATCCTGATTTAGTCTAATTGCAATTTCACTGTGTTCCACAGGCAGTGACAATTCATACTGGGGGGAGCTGAGACGTGACCCTGTAGGATTTTTCTTCCTGCCCCATATGAGCTGAAGCTGGACCATTAGCTCTAAGACATGCATCTCATCTCATCACAGTGATTCAACCTGCTTCTGGGAAAGAAGAGAGCCTAGCGTGTGTATCTGGTTGAAAGAAAAGAAATATCTTTATTCTAGGTGGTGAGAGATATTTTTCTGTATCTAAAGCAAAAGCTGGAGCCATTTTATTCCTAAATAATTTAACTATATTCAAAGATAATCTGATGTTATTGTAGGAAAGTGTATTTCTAATAAATTCCACTTGATCTGGGTGAATCAATTCAGGCAGCGCATAATTGAGTCTGTTAGCAAGGACTTTAGCAAGAATTTTGCAATCAGTGTTAATTAAGAAGATGGGACAATAATTTGTGCATAATTCCGGATCTTTTCCTGGCTTGTGAATCAAAGTAATAAGAGCAATGCTCCGGCTGGTGGTGGGATAGTGTCATTAGGTGCTGATTTATAAGTACTTAGAAAGGTTTAATTTCATTTTGCTTCGAGCAGGGTCTCCCTGCCCCCACACTGTTGGCTCAGGGTGTGCAGCCAAGATGGCGGAGTGTTTCCTCTCTATGCTTCCCTGTCGCCGCTGACCTCCTGCTTTCCATTTCTATTTTATTCGGCAGCGAAAGATCCCACTTACTCATCCGTGTTTTTTCTTAATACTCTTATTTGAATTATTTGAAATCAGAGACTCCATGCTGTTGATGTGTGTGGGTATGAGTATATGTGTGTGTAAGGTAAAGTAAAAAGGTTGTATGCAGCTTCCGTGGGGAAATTTGTTCGTGGATCTTCCTGCAAAATGTGTCTGGGTGGGTAAGTATCAAGAGCCCTTGACAAAAACTCAGGAAACATACCTTGTTTACACACTGCTGCTAACTGGCTATTGACCAGTGGAGGAACAAATGTGAGCCTCAGTGTCCCCATCTGTAAAATGCAGCCGTAAGACAGACGAACTACAGGCATCATGGAATGCTGGGAAGAGCATTGGATCGATACTTTCTACCAGCTGTGGGACCTTGGGCGTGTAACGTCACCTCTTAGAGCCTCGTTTTCCTCAGCTGGGTAAGTGGGAAAGACAAAAGCTCTTGGGAAATGCATACTTCATGAAGGTCCTTGCTAACTGTGATTCCTCTCTCTTTGCCTCCACTTAGAGCTGGTTCCAATCCTAGCATGTTCTGGTTTGGTGACATATTCTTCCTAACAATTAGAACAGGCTGGTCCTGTGCCAAGCTGCTGCTTATTTGGTGCATTCAAGTTCACAAACCAGTCTCCCACCAGCCCTCCAGGAGATACCTTCCTTCCCTCACTGGAATAAGCCATCTCTTTGGCCTCTGTTAGGATGCACCACACTTCCGAAGGCAATGGGGTTTTGTTAATGTCCTCCACAAACACAAGTCATTGGTCTCAAAACCTCAGCGCAATTTGTAAAGACCCTGAGAGATGACCTGACCAATCCCATTTTTTTTAAAGGGAGGATATTAAGGTTCAGAGAGATGGACTGACAAGTTCGAGACCACAGAGGCAGTGGTAGAGCCAAGGCAAGAACCAGGGTCATCTCACCGTTAGTCTCTTGCCGTTCCCAATACACCCCGTCTCAGAGCCACCAGCAGCATGCATGCTTCTGTCTTTAGTTCAAATGTGACTCCTACAAGGGAGGGGCTGTGCTCATTTAACTGACATTTGACTGTTGGGTTTGTCCTGGATGATATTCTCCTCCATGCGTGGTGGAGGGGTGGCGGATGTGGCCCTAAAGTGATGGCAGATTCAGTGTTAAGCCTGCAGGGGTGCTGGTTGGATGAGAAGTTGAATTCCACAAATAGACCCCATCTTGACATGTATGCACATGCCTATCACACGTTCCCCACACTCATTCCCCACATATATACATGCTGCCGGATGCGATCTCTTAATAAAAACCCAATTAGTATTTCTTTAACTTGCCTCCAGATGCTTAAATACCATTACCCCAAACACAACATAATGTCTCTAGTTTTCTGTTTCAATCAAGAATTCAAGTAGCATCTTGACTTGTATATAATATATCAGCAGCAAAATCATGGAATGCTGACATCCTTAATAATAGCAATTAGTAATCAGTTGTTTCTTAAGTAGTTTGATTACGCCAGTTACCAAATTGTACAGTTGATGCATTTGGGGGCAAGAAGGGTCTCGCCAGCCCTCCCCCAGCCATCCTTCCTCCCTTCCCATGCCTTGGTGGTTAGTGAGCTGATAGGCATTGAAGAGAGGCAAGGACAAATGATACAGATGTCACCAATATTAAACAGCAGAGACTAGGTTTTGGCCGAAAGTAGAATTAAATATTTCTTTGCAGAAAGACTAACCCCAGTAGTATCTATGGGAAGGCAATCTGTGCCCACCCACCTAATGTCAGCAAAGGAGCTTAGCCTGTCTGTGCCAGGCAGGATGCACAGAGTTTGAGCTCCTTCCCAGGGCAGAGACCCTGTGCTAGGCTCTGGATACCAATAAGCATTCGGCAAGGATCTCAGCTTCAAGGAGTTGTTTTTAAGTTTTAAATATCTGGTGGGTATAACAGTTAGCCCAGCAAGGCCATGTGTTTCAGTAACCAATGGAGACTGAGGGCATTTTGTCCTCGTGGAGGGAGGAGAGTCTCCAGCGGAGGCCATCCACCAAGCAGGGTCTGGAAGAAAGGGGTGGCCTGAGCAGAGGAGGTCCTCACGTGCCTCAGAATTTGGGTGCAGCCCTGGTGGGGAGGTTCCTATTGGAATGGGGTGGATGGCATAAATGGGGGAGCTGGTTATGGGGGATCTGTGTGCTCAGCCCTGTTCAGCTTATCACACACACACACACAGAGAGAGAGAGAGAGAGAGAGAGAGAGAGAGAGAGAGCATGCCCCACTCCCAGTCCATCCCAGTCCATCTTTGCAGGGGCAGGTGGCTCTGCAGGGGACACGTGAATTGTGTCTTTAGGGAAATCCCAGTCGATGACCATTCCCCTGACTCTCTACCAACTGTGTAGGGAGGATCCATGCTGTACTTTGCCCCATGATTTGCTAGGGCTTAAAATTTCAAGTTCCTCTGACCGCTGCCCTCATCAAGGGGGGACATGTACACCTGGGGAGGCTTCTCCAGAAAAAGCCATTCCCACCATTTTCTCAGCTGGTGCCTCTTTTTCTCTATGCTTTTATTGTGACACTGACGTGGATGCATCAGAATAGATTATTATTATTTTTTGTGTTCCCTTTGGTGGAATAATAAGTTCACAGTGCAATGAACACGGGGATTTCACTGACAGATAAAAGGTCCTTGTGTGTTCATAATGACAAGAACATAGGAGAGAACGGTTACTTTTCTTTGTCTTATTTCTGCAAATCGTCATCTTTGAACAGTACTCAGAAACCTGTCAACCAGGGTTGTCCTTGGGATGGAGACTTTCCTCCTCTCCCCCAAATGCACTTGCCAGCATGCTGCTTGTCTCCTGCCTCTCCTGGTCTGAGTGGGCATTCCCCGTGTTGGTCCTCGCTGCCCAGCCCCATTCCCCATCGGTTCTTCACAGTATCCATTCCTAGTATGGGCTGCATTTCAAGGTATTGCCATAAGTTCTGACCACTCTTCAAACATTCTAAAGACCCCACATGTATATTTAAATCCAAACAGCTCTTGTTCCTGCCAAGCATGGTCCCCAAGGACTCACAGTGGCCTTGAGAAAGATCTCATTTGCTCCCACACTCAGCACAAAGGAATCCATGCTCCATTGCAGGCTGTGACAATGAGTGTTTGGGGTCGTAGCCTCAGAGCAGCGCAGAGATGGACGGGACCTCAACAGTGAATCAAGTCAGCGTTTCCCAAAAAGCATCTACAAACTACCAATTCCCCCGGTGGCAAAACCACAACGAGCCTTTATTATACGATTGTGTCGAACTCCAAGCGTATGATTCTGCAGGAAGCATCTCCCAAGCTCATTCCACCATGGACCTCTGTTTGGGAAGCCCCAATTGAATTTCATGTCACTGGCCCAGAAAGGGGAAGAGACTTTCCTAAGGTCACACAGCTCATTGGTGGCAGAGCCCAAGTTTCCTTCTGGAACATCCCACTCCACAAATGGAGCTTCTCCAGGCCCCTGATAACTGCCCGGTACTGATGTTGCCTGGGCTGTGAGCCTGGGAGGCATCATGCGTGTTACTCCTGTTTGCCTTCTCCACTCTCCATGCTGCCAGGCACACAGCACAGGCTCAGCACACTGTCACCATCAGGTCCCTCTGTTTTCAGTCTCCGTTGGTGGCACCAGCCTCTACTTGTTACTGAGACCTTCCCATGGACCCACCCATGCAGTTCTCATCTTTGTCACTGATCTTTGTGTTTATTCTGCTCTCTTGGTTGAGACCCTTGTCATCTCTCACCTGGAAACTGCCTTCAGTCACCTTCTAAATAGGGTCTCCTCCCCTCTCTTGTTTCCTTCAAATCCTGCTTTCACATTGTGCCGAGAGCAGCATACCCAGAACACAAGACAGCATACCGCACTCTCTGCCTCAGCCTGCTTTCCCTATAATAGAGCCACTGGTAACAAGATGTGCCTTAATCATTCAGGGTACGATCGCCCTGAAAGGAAAACAACCCTGAGCTAACCCAAGCCCTTAAAACATGTCATCAGCAACGAACTTTTCTTGCCCTTCTGAATGGTGCAGTTCGGCGGGGAGAAGTATACACATATGTGATCTAGAATGTAATGGGTTCATCGTGGGAAGGAATGAAACTCTCTTAACACAAATGTCATTGCTTTCAAGTGTTCAGCAAAGTTGTGGCGCGGGGACAGTAAAGATGGTGCTGGGCAATGAGTCATGTGGAAAGAATGATATTTTAAATTGGGGATTTCAAATACACAGATCCCCAACCAGCTTCGATGGCTTTGTAAAGGGGGATGTGGAGAGGGGGGACTTGCTTTTAAGCATAGCAGAAAACGGAGGGCTTAACCACGGGGTGAAACAAAGGTAGGCGGGGTTCAGGGAAGCCAACTAGGGGTGGCATAGCCAGAGTGGGCACCCTCATCCCTGTGTCTGAAGGGGCAGGCAGGGAGGTGAGAACTGTCAGCCAGGAGCTGGGCCTTCGGCACCAGGATCAAGTCAAATCACAGCAGAGATCCAGCAGGGAGGGGTCCCTGGAGCAAATACCCCACTTTCCCTGCTCCTCTTAGCACTTTCCCTTAGCTGCCTCCAACAAGAGTCAGAGTGCTTGAGGCAGGTGATGGAGTTCATAAGGTCAGCTTCACAGGTGGGCACAGGGCAGGCAGTGTGCAGCGGGAAGGGTGGCAAATGCAAAACATAGAGCTCAATGCTCCTGGTGAAACTGCAGTTTATGATGACAATTTCCCTCCTCACAACCCAGTGCGATCTCCTGCACTGGGGAGCGTACCAGGCGTTGGCTTGGCGAGACTGCAGTGCCTGTCTGCGTAAAGCTAAGGTCAGAACAAAGGCGTGCTGTTCTTTGGGCTCGTGGCTCCTGGGCCCTCACCCTGATCGTGGCCACAGATATTAGGAAAACCAAGGAAAGAAGGAGCAGGAGACGGTTGCTCCCTAAAGCCTAATGCAGCTTGCTTAAGTCCCCAGTGAAAGGCAGCTGAGGGGGTACACGCACGCCGTGAGGGAGCAGAAGGATTGTCACCCCCTTGCAGGACTGATCTGGATCTCCCTCTTCATCACATGAAAGCCCCACTGGCTAGCACCAGTGCCCCATGCACACTCCCTTTTGATATACTTTCTGCACGTGGGAGCATGTGTTTGTGTGTGTGTATGTGCTGGTGTACGTGTGTGTGCACGCACCCATGTATGTCAGGAGGGACTCAGTCTAGTGGGTGGGAAGAGCCTTCTGTACACCTTGTAGGGGCCAAGCACATCTGACAAGCTAGAACACAGCAAATATGGAACATAAGGTAAAGCATGGAGGTGATTAGGAGAAGGAAGGGAAAACTGAAGGGGGGCGGAATCGGAGGGGGAGACGAACCATGAAAGACTGTGGACTCTGGGAAACAAACTGAGGGTTTCAGAGGGGATGGGGGTGGGGGGATGGGTTAGCCCGGTGATGGGTATTAAGGAGGGCACGTACTGCAGTGGGCATTGGGTGTTATACGCAAACAACGAACCATGGAACACTGCATCAAAACTAACGAAGAGTACTTCATTACAGTAGTATGGTGACTAACATAACATAATAAAAAAAATAAAGTAAATCTTGCACCAGGGCAAATAGTTCCATTTGTTATACAAAGAAGTTCCGCAAAAGTTTTGACCAAAAAAAAAAAAAAAATAGAAATGGGGAGAGATTGCCCATCTGAATAGACAGGTCCCATGTGAAGAGGTCTACAAAGAAAAACAAAGCCTTGTGGCTAAGACTTTGTCCCGAGCAGCAAAGGAAGGACGGGTGGGCAGGCGGTGGACAAGGGCCAGCGCTCACTTTTTCAGCTGGTGGCTCAAGGATAAATACTCATCACCAGCAATGTTCAGGGTGTGGTGAGACACACACACACTGTCAGAGGAAATAGAAAACCTTTCAGAAAACAGTCGGGTGACGTTTCTGTCCTTGTTTTTTGTCCTTGGAATTCTGCTCTTAGGAATTTATTTTAAGGATATAACCTGAATAGGAAAAAAAAAGCCATAGGAATGCTAATAAAGATGCTAATTACGGCATTACTGATAGTAGTAAAAATGTAAACAAATATTCTTCTCTTGTAGGCATTTGGTTTAAGTATTTTGTGATTAATCACCTCAATAGGTGATTGGAATTAAGAAGACTATGCAGCATCACGGAAAATACTTTAGATATATTAACTCAACAGAACAGAACACAAAATTATATCGAAGGCATGGCTGTGGGGGAGGGGGATTTACACATGCATTAGAAGTGGAGAAATGGAAACAGGGGCTGTGGGAGGGCAGTGGCACCACGGAGTGCTTTCCCTCTGTTTAAGCTGTTTGTAGCTCGGGCCAGGGGTTACATAGCAACACACGCAGTATATGCAGCCTGTGTGTCGGGATATAAACAGGCAAGCATCCAGCAGGTGGGTTTTTCACGCATTCACCCTTCCACCTCCAGGAATGGCCCGCCCCTGACACGCGCTCATGATGGGGAATTCGGCGACAGATCATTCTGGTTACCTGTGAGCACGCTGGCGGGCAGCTGAGCCGAGGGGTCCTTCATCCAGTCATCATTGGCCAGTTCTATCACGGCGTCCACGTGCCCCACTTCGGTGCAGATCAAGTGGCTCACTCTCTCCTCATCCCTGGCGTCCAGTGCAGACTTTAATCTCCTCACCAAATCTGAGTGGAGCGGGTAATCCGGAAGGCGGTCAGAGCCGGACATTGTGATGTTGTTTGTGCATTGACCAAACTTCTCTTCTCAACGGAGTCCAAAGGTAGCAGCTGCGCCGCGCAGGGCACTGTGGGCGTTGTTATAAATAGAACAAACCTGGCTCGAGTCTCAGGGGCTGGGGAGGGCCACTGGCTGGCGGCCTTTTTCTTCACGGGGCCCTGGGAATCAGTCTTCCTGAAGGTCTCGGTTAAAGATTATTCTAGAGATGGGGCAGTAGACATTTTGCTAAGTGGGGGAGGAAAAAAAGGGGACAGCATTGTAAAAGAGAACTCTCATAGGTACTGTTGAACAAGGACTTCTTTTAGCAAACGTGAGATTCTGTCCTGAAACGGATTGAAAGGAGAAGTAGTAGCTGGAGCTCCCCTTTCCTTCTTTCCTTGAACATGACCGTGATGTGTGGAGATGTGGCAGCCATTTTATAGCCATGAGGTAACAGTCAAGAGTGAAGGATTAACATACTGAGGAGAATGGAATAGAAGGAGGGGAAGAGATGGCTTCTCAGTGACATTTCTGGACCTTTGCTTTAGCTCTCGGTCGCCAACTACCAGACTTCCCGTCTTTATTCCTTAAGCACTGTTCACGAGTTTTCAAGGACTTGCAGCTCAGAGTGTTCCTGGTTGATGTAGGTAGTGTATTCAGTCTACCTCTAAAGTCATGGGAATGTCCTGGTTCGGTCTACAGAGATGTAGCAGAAGTGGCTCAGCCTGTCATAAAGAATGTGGATGATCTCCCCAAGCCTTCTGGTCTTTGGCAATTGAACTCTTGCCTTCCTTAGATAAAATCCCACTGTATATTGCTTGGACAGCAGCCAACCCCAAAGTCCTTGAAGGAGGGGCAGTGGCATGGTGGGCTTGCTCATCAATGAGCAAGTAGCCAAGGCCACTTAATGGACTGCCTTCCAGGGTCACAGGAACTGAAAGTGGACCTTGCTGGAGACGTTCTGGGAATCCTGGGCAATGTGTTTTTGAGGTCTTAACTCAGTGGATCAGTCTTCAGTTCAGATGTCTGACCAACTTGCAGAGAGGGTGGTTGGCCTCTGATTCTTCCTTCCACCAAAGAATTATGAGTTTTGAGGGAGATTTTTGAACGTGAATTTCCACGCACAAATGCTTGACACTATCAAATGCCTTATGTTTAGGAAGAAATATAACAACACCAGCACCATTTGTGTGAATACAAAGAGAGGGAGGGTAGTGGCCATAGGAAAATTATCGGAATTTGGGTAAGGTAATTTAAAGAAAAAACCCAAGAATTATTGAGATTGCTATTAAACTTCAAATCAGAAGGGAGGTAAAGATGAAGCACTTGTTAGGCAGATAATAAGATGACAAAGCCTCAAAATATGGCACTCACTGATCTTAATTACCAAGCTATCTGCTGGGTGTTTAATCAGTAGCACATATACTATGCTAATTATTCTGGCTAATTTTGTTATAATGTAATTCTTTATCAACCCTGCTATGTATGAATTAGGAATTGAATTGTAACTAACACAAATTATATTTAAGGCAACATGAATTTCTTTATTTCAGTGTGAAATCTTCTAATCTTTATTTCTTTGTCTTTCCTTTTTTTTTGATTAGCCCATGTGAACCACCCCCTCCACTGCCCACCCTGCCTCAGTGCCCAACAACCTGACTATTATTTGAGGAGAAAGGAGCCCAGCACCAATATCCTCCCCCTAACTTCTTGGAAATCTTATATGTGACTATCTCCTTCAGTGATTGTCCTTGAAAGGTGCAGAACGTATTTAAGCAATCAGTGGTAGACAGACACTGGCTTTCTCTGAATCAGATAAAGGTTGCTTCATTGTTCTACCTTAATGTTTAAATAATCACGAGAGGGTACCATAATTCACGTATTTTCAGTGATATATTGTATGTGACTTATGTCAGTTTGTTTACAAATGTGTTTAGTTGAGAACTAATAACACAGATCCTCACAGAAAAGCACAAACATTATCTAGAGGTTTTTTTTTTTTTTTTTTTTTTTGTCATTCAAGCTTGCAACCAAATGAGGTCAGGCTGGTACAGAAATTGGTGGAGCTGTGCAGAGCACACTGGCATGCCTTCAGAGACTGCGGGGCCATAGAGCTTTTTAAAAAAATCAGTATTTTTGGTTTTGAATTATTTTGCAGCAAAATAACAATGCTTGTTGAATCAGTGGGTCCAGTGTGGGTCTAATTTAGTCTCAACACCATCAGTGAGAGTCAGTTGCCAATGGAGGATCGTGGTCTGGGAGAAATGGCTAGTCCCAAATACTCATACCCCACTGTGACCTCAGGGTAAGGGACAAGCACTGGGCCTATTTGGATTAACTCAAAGTGACCATGAAGAGGATCCATTTCTGAGACTGATTTTCTTCTTTGACCCTGAAATGCCCCTGCTATTTCCTGAGATTCTAGAGAGCTGCTCCTTTGACATATAGGTTCCCCACTATTGGCCCCTGAGTGCTCTTAGCTCATACCTCACCTTTAAATCCAGCTGCAGAGGCTTCCAGCTTGGGGCTGCTCTGGGGCTCCCTTCCCAAGCCATGCTCCTATCTCTCATGATTCTGTCTTCTCTCTGGTTCCTGTAGCTCGAGTCCAGAGTCTCCCACTTCCCTGCTCCAGCAACATAGATCTTCTCCCTGTGGTCAGAAGCTTTTTGATTTGGCTGAAGTTTCCTCTAAATCCCTTTTTAATGGGTCTCTGATAGCTTTTCAGTCCTGATGGTTTCAACCAGGACATTTGTGTGAATGTATTTACCATTGTGTGGCTGGACTGGCTTGCCCATCAACCTACTAGGCCACGGGGAGCCACTTTGTGAAGTGGCATTGTTAGGTGGTCTTTATGGGCAGCTCTTTGTGCAAGGAGAAAACAGAAGCCCCTTTCATTCCCTTTGTATTTTCCAAGGCTTGAAACAACACAATGGGATGTGGGCACAAACGAGATGTGATGAAAGCCATTTACAACTTTTGCAAGTTTTTTTTTTTTTTCCATTGGGGCATGATTTATGATGGCACAAGGATGGAGTTGTACAATTGGAGATGCAGACATTTCCATTAATAAAACCCTCAAAGACAAAATAACAAATGAGTTTCATTCAATGAACACTTTTTGAGCCCTAGCATATGCCAGGCACTTCTCCATGTGCTGGGAGTATAAGATACTATATACTGCATACTGATTACATGGTTCGTGACACACCAGGCACTCTTCTAAAGGTATTGTGTATTCAAACTCTTTTTCTCCTCACAACAATCTTGTGAGGTAGTGCTATCACTGCCACTTGACAGAAGGAGAAACTGAGTAGTGAGACAATTTGTTTGCAGTCACACGGCTGCTAAGTGGCAAAGCTAAGATGCAAATATGTGCAGTCTAAGTGTGCTCCTTAAAACTCCGGGTCGAGCTTCTCACTGTCTGATCCCTCCCTGCAGTTCCCGTTCTGCTCTCTTGTCATGTTTCTTCCTCATCCTTCCTTTCTGTTTTTTTTTGCCTTTTTTGAGATGGAGTCTTATGAGAAAAAATGAAGAAACAGAGGGAGGAAGGAGAAAGGCACAAGGGCAAGGTAGGGACTGAGAGTATTTGGGGGAACTTTGGGAGAAAAAGGAGTTGGAACAACTTTCACGAATGCAGGAAGTGGACAAAGAAGGAAGGAATCTTTGGTTGCTGGATGGTGTTCCCTTAAGCCAGACATTGTGTTGAGAGTGGACCACCAGGGCATGGCTTTTTACGAGTCTTACCAGCTAATTATGTGTTATCAGTGCCACTGACTGGGAGACAGACAGTGAAGCATCCATCAGGCACAATGATGGGAGGTGAGAAGTTTGCCTTCTGAGGAGTGAACGTGAAAATCAACAGATAGTGCCGTCTTTGGGGATGCCGAAGAACTGTTTGAGGGCAGTAATCTGCCTTCAAATTTAACTCTTCCCATTTCAGATAATATTAGCAATAAAGGAAAAGGAGAAAAATGGAGAAAATCTATGTCAGTGGTTGAACTGAGGGCAGAGGGCATCACCATGACAAAAATGCTGAGAAATTCCTGTGAGAAATAGCACAGGCAAGATTGAGAAAGGGCTGACCAGTTCACCGTTGGCGTAACTGGAAGGAAATGCAGAGAGGAGCCCTGGGGTGAGTATGGGGCTAATCTTGCCTCATCAGCAGGTTCAGAGAGGGGCCCTGAGAACCACAGTACTTCCAGAACACCAGCGTCTCATGTCACATTCCATTCCTGTGCCCGGCACACGCAGGCAGAAGCAGCAGTGGTTTCTCAGGGGGACAGTCATGCATGTTTCAGAAAGGGGCCCCACATTGGCCATTTCAAACTAGGAACAATCCAAATGTCATCGACAGTAGAATGGATAGATAAAATGTGGTATGTTCCCGCAGGGGAAGAGTTAGAGTAACGAGGAGGAATATTCCACGGTTACTTGTAACAAGTGCTTGACTCTCACAAATATAATGTTGAATAAATGAAAGTTGCCAGACACAAAAGAATAAATGCTGTAGGACATCATTTACGTAAAGTTTTATAAAACAGGCAAAGGTAAACTATAGGGATAGAGGTCAAGACAGTGATGACTTTTTCCAGAGAAAGTGGAGGTAGTGAGTGGGAAGGGACGTGGAGGAATTTCAGGCAGTGTTTTCCTTCTTGAACTGCTTGATGGTTACAGGGGTGTTTCTGATAATTCACTGGACTGTTACGTCGTCTGTGTATGTGTGAACTTTTCCATATGCATCTTGTATCTCATAATATAAAAAAGATAGACATAGACTGTTTCAAATAAAAAAGCAGCTGACATAAATACAAGACAGAAATAGTCTGAAGCGCTTTTGTTGAGAGTTTCTTCATACTTTGAAACCAAAAAATGATGGGCTAGGAGAGGTGGAGTATGGATGACAGTATCCCCCTCCCCCCCCCGCCACGACAGATGGAGACCTGGACTTTCCATTATGAATACCAGGGAGGTCCATGGGGGCTGATTCAGGGCTGAAGGGTCCCTTAGCTCAT